AGCAAACAGGGTTAAGTGATTTGTCCAGGGTCACATAGCTAGTAAGTGTCCGAGGTCAGATTTGAACTCAGGAAGATGAGTCTTCCTGACTTCAGGCTTGGCATTCTCTGCCACTATAAGAAATGTGGTTGGGAATGTTGCTTCTGCATATCACTCATCAGGGTGATGAGTAGCTGCTGGGGTATTGACAGCTGTAGACTGTTGACAAGAAAATGTGTGGAATGGGAGATGTAATTAGGGGCAGAGACTCACGTGGGGAAATTAAGTGCTCCAGATAGGCTGTAAACCCTGCATTACCCAGCCAATGGGGAAACAGGGAGGGAACTGAGATTTGAGCCTAGGAATAAAAGGTTTTGCTCTCCCTTCTGTAAGGTATGCCCACACATGGGACACCCAGCTTTGCTAGGCTGTTAATAAAAAGGTTTTTTGTTTTTTTTTTCTGGTTCACCAATGGCTTCGTGGAACTTTTGTTGCTTACACCACTTAGCTGCCCCTCCTGAGAACAGGAACTGATTTTTATCTTTCTTTGTATCCCCAGAGCTTAGCACAGTGTCTGATAAATAGCTGGAGCTTAATAAATGCTTGTTGACTTGACTATCTAAAGTATAGAAAGTTGTGATCAGAATTAACCAAGATATATAATCATGAAAGAACAGATTTTTGAAGTAATATTCCACCAAATGTAATTAGTTTCACTTTCTTTCCCAAGCTGACTCCAAACTCTCCCAACTATCTCTTACATGCCACAGAAACCACTTTACCTTGGAAGCTCACTTCACCCATGGACTTCACACACTGGAAGTACCCTTGGCCCCTTCAGCTTCTCCCTCTGATTGGCTGGTTCCTCCCAGAACCTCTGCCCCAGCCAAGAACATCTTCCTTCTCCAGGATGTGCTCCTGATTCTCCAGACTTTCTCTATCAAGCCTTTCTTCTCTCCTCTTTTTCTCAGCTTCGTCTTTACGTGTTGTCTTCTCCATTAGAATGTAAGCTCGTGAAAGATAGCGACTGTCTTTCTTTTGGCTTGTGTATAAATTTCTAGTGCTGAGAAGAGTAGTCTTGCAGATAGTAAATGCTTGTTGAGTTCACTTTTTAATTGAATCTCTGATTTTCTTGAATACTGGTTAAGATTTATTATTTCTTTAGCTAGTGGCTTTACATACTGAGCCCATGCTCTGCAAGCTCAGTATCCACAATACAGGGGAGGTGCTTTTAGCCTTTCCAGAGAAGGACATAAGTCTCTAATTCTCCAATTGGGATTAGTGAGCTGAGCTGCCCAGACACAACAGCTGCGGAAATACATAAATAAGTATGACTCATGAGAGGTCTCTTGGCCAGTTTGTCATCATTGATAAATCCACAAACTATTTCTTCTTAGGGCTTTATGGGAAAACATTCCTGTTTTGCGAATGTAAGAATTGATGGTGTTATTCTTAAATGATGGGCTGAAGCCATCCATCCAGCAATCTGGGATAAAGTAGAACTTTAGAACTCTGTAATACATTTTAGGTGTTTTGTTACACTCTTTCCCCAGCTCCTAATCTGTAATTTATCTTGTACAAATCCTGAATGAGGTTTAAACTTGTGTTCTGGTATATTTGTTTATTTTTACCTTGCCTATCCCCTTTGGGGGCTGGAGTGGGTTAATGGGCATGGAATTAGCAGTACTCCATATGGTTTTTCCCCTCTTCTTCCAACTAAATGCCATTCTGTATATCTGCTAACGATGCCAGCCTATGTATTCTACAGTGACCCCCAAAGAATGTTTGTTCTTCCCCTCAGCCCCTGACTGCTGCAACCAATCAATTACTCAATCAGTTATTTATTAAGCTCCTACTCCAAACGATTAAGGTTAGATAATCATTGAAAGTGCGTTGCCTCGGTCAAACTGAGACCTGTTAAAGACCTTGGCTTAAACAGGCCAAGGTCTCCCATTGCATCCAGGGCCATCTCCAGTCATCCTGATCTATATATGGCCGCTGGATCCAGATGGCTCCAGAGTAGAAAGTGAAGCTGGTGACTTTGCACAGCCCTCCCTCACTTATATTCAATTCACTTGCAAGTCATGGCGTCACATTCCTGATGCCATGGGCCTTTTCAAGAACAAAGGACAAACAACAACAACATCAACTCCAAATGAGGTCAAGAAGGGTCAAACACAACTGAAAAAACCGAACAACAACAGCAACAGCAACAAACTATGTGCTAGGCACTAGGGATACAAGCACAAAGAATAAAACTACTTGCTAACAAAGCTTATATCCTGCAGCTCCAGATATATTTACTGTAAAAACTAGACAAATATTTTAAAAAATATGGTAATTTTGTGTATTCTTTCAATGTACACATGTATACATACACATGCATGTATATATAGAGCCATATTTCTCCATTTCCAAGGCTTATTTTAGGATGTGGCATACATTAGGCTATTAGGACCAATATGCTATTAAAGTCTTTGGCCATCTTCATGCCCCAGCTCTGGAAACAAATGAAATGAAAAAGCATTTATTCTCTCCTAACTTTGTACCAAGCATTATACTTCTGCTGATGTTCAGTCGTATCTGACTCTTTGTGACCTCATTTGGAGTTTTCTTGGCAGAGATACTGGAGTGGTTTGCTCCTTCTCCAGCTCATTTTGCAGATGAGAAAACTGAGGCAAACAGGTTAAGTGACTTGTCCAGGGTCACACAGCTAATAAGTGTCTGAGGCCAGATTTGAAGTCAGGAAGATGAGTCTTCCCGACTCCAGGACTGACACTGTATCCACTGTGCCACCTAGTCGCCCCAAGCACTGTACTAAGCATTGGTAATACAAATACGAAAACAAAAACAGGTCAGTGCCCTCAAAGAGATTACATCCTAATGAAGGAGCTTACACATATTGGGGAGTGGTGCTCACCCAGGGACACTTTGGTTGGGAAAGTTACAGGGACGGTTGAGTGGGGCTACAAGAGAGCAGATTACTTTGTGCCATCCAGGAACAATGGCAAAACTTACTTAGTCACGGCTCACAGTTCCACAACTGGACAGACGAAGGAGGAACAGGGAAATAACGGTAGCTGTTGGTGGTGAGGAAGGAGGAAAGAGAAGCATAGCTGAGTTTTTCCCTAAACCTAAAAGAGTATTCTCAGAAGGACAATTACCATTCAGGAGGGGAGGGACAATAACCAAATCAACGCTACCATTCCAGACCAAAACTCACTTCCCTAGCCACCCTTCCCATATTATTGAATCCCCTATTAGAATATAAACTCCTGCACAGCGTGGTACTGCTTTGTATTTTGTTTGATCCCTAGTCATCGCCAGTGTCTGGCACAGAGTAGACACTTAATAGAGCCACTGGGTAGATCTGTGTACAGAGTGCCAGGGCTGAAGTAAGGAAGACTCACTTTTTGAGTTCAAATCTGGCTTCAGACACTTACTAGCTGTGTGACCCTGGGCAAGTCACTTAACCCTGTTTGCCTGAGTTTTCTCACATATAAAACGAGTTGGTGAAGGCAATGGCAAACCATTCCAGTATCTTTGCCAAGAAAACCCCAAATGGGGTCACGAAGAGTTGGACACAACTTAAAACTGACTGAACAACAAAACAATAAATGCTTCCTGCATTCACGTTTCTGATTTCTGAGTCTCCTTATTGAGAGTACCCCCAGCTTTCTCTGAATTTGAGTCTTGTGGGTTATCTTTAGATGGGTGAGGCCACTGCTTTGCAGTACAGTGTGCTGTGGGGGAAAGAACACTGAACTGAGAATAGGAAGAACTCGGTTCAAATCATACCTCATGCTAACTGTGTAAGCCTAGGTAAATTAGAACTTCTCTGCATCCTTTTCCTTATCTGTAAAATGAGGGGATTGGACTTGATGACTTCTTAGGTCCTTTCTAGGATCTAAGGACCTCTAGGACTCTTCCATTTTCTTGAAGACTGCAGGAGTCTCTTTGAAGTGAAGGGAGCCATCTGGTAGTGTTAGCTATTGCTGCCAGAGTAATTTTCCTCAAGTGTAGCTCTGACCATATCACTCTCCTACTCAGTAATGTCAGTGGCTTTCTATTTGCCTCTCGAATCAGATAAAAACTCCTTTGTTTTAGCTTTTAAAGCCCCAACCTATCCTTTCTGCCTCATGGTATATTACTTACGCTCCTGAACTCTGCAATCTAGACAATGGGCTTTCTCTCTGTTCCTCACAAGTCATGTCATCCCCTGTTTCCATAACTCAACAATGTCTATTCTCTGTTCCTGGAATATGCTCTCCTCACCTCTGCCTCTTAAATCCACCTCCTCTTCCTTTAAGATGTACCTTCTACATGAAGCCTCTCCTCATCCCCCGAAATGCTCAGCCTCCATTTCAAATTACCTTGGATTTAACTACTTTGTATTTATTTGCTTTTATTCCATATATATATATATATATATATACATATATTTCCTTGTGTTCCCCTCTGTTAGAATATAAGTAGCATGGGAGTAGATTGTTTCATTCATTGTGTTTGTAGCCTCTGGGACTAGCACAGATGGAGCTTAATCAATATTTGATTATTTGGAAACCTCATAACCAGTCTCTATGTTCTGAGTGATGTCTCTTTTCTAATCTGTGCTGCCTGGTACGAGCACATGCTTAAGCAATACTGATACTTATAGCTCAGTCTCTAACACCAAGGAAAAACTGGGTTTCTGCATTTGTTAGTTTTAGTAATTTATTGAAACATAAAAGCAAAATTACAGTTTAACCCACATCACTTCACAGACTTGAACAGGTAGATGCTAATCTCTAATGATGGGAAGAGGGGAAAATGGCTAAGAGATGGAGGAATATTGGAAGAATATAGAGAGATAATTTCATAGATTTAGAGGCCAAAGGGACCCTACAGGTCATGTAATTCAGAGATGTGAAACACACATCCTACAGGCTCAACACTCCAGGACTAGATTAAAATATAATTCAGTAATACTTAACAAAATATAAAATATAATAAAACACAGATAATATTAAAGTGTGGTTTTCTAAGTCAATATGCAGCCTCTTAGGACCTTATGTATGGTTTAATGGGCCCCTGGTTCTACTTGAGTTTGACACCAGTGATCTAATCTAATTCTTTCACTTTATAATGAGGAATTGGCTCCAGCTCACAGGCTTGGGCTTCCAAATGAAGGTTAGCCCCAGATCCAATGGTCCTTTAGCCAGCAACCTGGCACGTTTCCAGTATGTCTAATCCTGCCCCTCCAAAACTAGCTCTGGGAATAATAATATCAATACTACCATCCTGGAAAGGAGTGTCAATGAAACAAGTGACTCTCCAAGACAAACCTCTATACAAGGCAACTCACTTTTGGAGAGCAACCGAACTACTAGGATACAAATTCAGAGAAGTCCCCAGTCTCAACTCAGGACAATTCAGAGAATACTGCTTCATCCTATAAAAAATGTCCTAGGCAGGGCACGTACAGCCTCTTGACCACCCCCACCCCACCCCAACCAAAGTCATGACTGGTGAGTGGCTCACGTGGTCCACTATGTCTAGCAGATTTAGTCATGATTCACTTTACATCTCAGCCATCTTCTTGCCATTCCCCTTCCCCTGCCCATTTTCAGCTCTGAAACCACAACAGAATCAATACTGTCATTAGGCTACTGGAAAGGATATATCAATCTCCTATCTTAAGGCTCCACCCAGCCTTGCTATGACTTTCTAAACCAATCACGTGGACATTATTTCCCAGTACGTGCCTTTGGCAATTAGAATATAAGAAGCAAGGCTTGTCTTATTTTTGTATTAGTCTCTATGGCACTTAGCACAATTAGCATACAGGAAGCACTTAAACACTTTGTCATTTATTCTGCTGTGGAATCTTGTACAAAGTAGGGCATCAATAAATATATTTGAATGAAACAAAAGTCTTCAGTTAGGATGCTTTATAAAATGATAGAATGAGACTGGATAGACCACAAATGTAGTATAAAATGTAGGTTAGACAAAAGGCTATTACTAGGCAAAATTATGAAGTAGACTTTACTATTCAATTCTGCCTTTTAAATAATATATTGTCATATTATTAATTCCCATTGGTGGCTCCTGCCTTGAAATTGCCTTGTGCTTTTCTGTGCTCCTTCCTTTTTCCGTTCACCCCCAATTAAAATTTGTTTTCAAACTCATTATTTAGTAAAGTGTAAAGGACTGATACCAGTTTTGGGTGTTATTACTCCCAAGAATTTTCACTTTTGAAAAATGATTTTCAAAGCTCTGAAAGTGAATTGTCAATTTTTTTTTTTTTGGAACCCTTTAAAAACATCCTGACTACCCACACAAGACAGGAAAAGGAAAGAAATCCATGTCATAAGGATAATGTAGTATCTCCCTTGCTGGAGATAAGCTAGACATTTCACACTTCAAAAACTTAGCTAAGAGGTTGACTCTAGAAGACCTTTTTGATGTCTAATTTCATATTTCAGATAAAAATCCGAAAGAGTATAAGTCACTTTTATTTCCTTTTTAAATATACACATATAATATTTATGTCAAAAAGCACAAGAACATTATACAAGTCTTAAATTTACATTTTTGCAATAAAAGATATCAATATATGCATCATTTTGAATAACTTCTGAACTTCTGTTCATCTGGATGGAATCTGAATCAGTGGCATGAACATGTTACAATCACCATAGATTATCCTCACAGTGAACCAAAATGCATAGTAGGTTATGAAATGATAAATGACCATTAATAGATGACCTTGTAGCTCATATATTAGAATAATAAATTAACTATACAGAAACAGGTTTTTCCTACTGCAAAGACCTCCTGCCCCATTTCCCCAGTCATAAGAAAAACATGCTTTAGGAGCATCCTCATGAACAGGTTCCTGGTTCAATAGGAAAAAAAGTGACTTTGTGTGTTCGTGACTTCTAAATGCACCATTTCTCTGTTTGCACTATTGAAGTGCAAACTGCTAGAAGGTTTCTAACATACGTAAAAACTTCTCATTTGATAGCAACACTGAACACTGAGCCCGCACACAAGTGCCAACACTTGAGTTGTGAGTAGGCCTCTATGCGCTCATCTCTTGGGATGGCTTCTTTGGCAGTCAAGATTTTACTAGCCACTGCCAGGAAGTTCCTCTGGCAGCCCGATGGCTTACCATCAGGATTGGTGAACTGAATGGAAAAGACTATTAAAGCAGGAAGAAATTCTCCTTCTGAAGAATCTGCCTTTGCTTTATAATGTTATTTATATAGGGCATAAATCAGGGCAGAGGTCAACAGCGGGCTGCTCTTGCCTGACACCCAGTCAGTTCTCCCAGCTAAATATTTAGTGCAACCTGCTGAACTGTAGATGAGACCAAGAAGGGAGAAATCTGTGTCTTTTCACCACATCAGTGAATTTATGCAACTGAGCAATGAACATTTCAAACCTCATCCAACTTGCCATAATTCGACAAGTTTCCTACTGCTGAGTTATCTTCTGAATATCTTTTGAGTACTTAGAATCAAAGCTGTAGAATTATTCAAGTATCATAGTCATGATTATTCTGATACCTCTGACAGGTTCTTCTTCCCTTTCCCTCAACAAAAGAAAAACAAAACACAAAACTAAATACAAATGTGTATCCTTAAACACCTGGTATACATATTTTTAACTTCCCTGTTTTTATAGAGAAGTAAAAGTTTAAGAAACCATTATACATAAATGGAAGACAGTCCTCATCAAGGTCAAAATATAGTCTCTGAATAGATCTTTCAGACTCCTAAGGCATAGGAGACATGGAAGCTAACAGAGGGCTTCGATTTATCCTTTTCTTAAAGCTTTACATAACAAGTCCCCTTGATATAAAAATTATGGCTAAGAACCCAGAAAGCTACAGGCAGATTCTGAAGGGCATTATTATTTAAAAGCAAGGAGGCTCAATTACTGCTTGTTACAGTAAGACAGAGAAACAGACTGTCGATTGCATGGCTTTTTTTGGTTCTCTGCATCTGTCATACAACTGGAGTTCATGAAAGGCTGCACACATATGATGAATCGAAGATTTAAAGTCTTCTGGGAAGACATAAACTGTTACAGAATTGGCCCGATATTTCTATGCTCAGTGGGGAATTGTTTATTATGGTCCTATGGCTACTTAACACCAGGATCTGAGCAGATTTCTGTCAGTTACATAATGGCACCAGGACAAAGGATGTGATCTTCTGTTAGAATCCAGACCCTGGAAAATGGAAAGTGCAGTTTTAAAAAGGACTGGGTCCATCATATCAATTACAAGACTTACTGTAACATCAAGGTGACTACACAATTCTAACCCTCAGGGTTTTACAAGAAAAAAAAAAAGCTCTAAGAAAAATCTGCATTAGAGAAGGCAACTTTGACTAAGCAGGGAGTCAGTTTAACTTCTGGTAGCAGCAGCAAGTGGAATATCTAGGGCATTTTCCCAGAAGAGAAACGGCAACTTCTACTCTTTGGAACTTTTCCTCTATTCTAATAAAATTCTTGTCCTCTATGGTTCTTTTTCTGATTAGATATATGGTTCTTATGTTCAATTGTAATCTTGTCATTGCTGCTTTTCTTCTGCCATTTCAACACAAATATTGGTCCAGTTAATTAAAGCCAAGCAAGGACAAAAGACCAGAAACAGTCATAATGAGAATTGGCAGCTCCAGTTTGATGGCTGGTGTCACAAAGACTTAAAAAAAAAATCTAACAACTTCTTGGATGGTGTTTTTGTTCCAAAATACCACCAAACAGACAGTCAGAACTATGAAATCCTGTGCCCCCCCCCACTTCTGGCATGATTATTGAAGAAGGGAAGGCTCTAAAGGGGAAAATGATTTCCTTAAAATATCAGCAGAATCTTAAACAACTGTGGGGCAGACAAGTATTTTCTTCAGTGTTTTACAACAGAGACACGTTGATATAGGTATGCAAATGCTTTATCTTGAGGCATCAAGCTTGCTGATTGAAAGCAAAAATCCATTAAGGGATACTTTATTGAAAGATGTGAATCAGGAACTGAGGAATGACCCCATTGCCAAACCCCCCACCCCTCATCAGTCCTCCTAAATGTATCCAGAATTGCAGACCTGTCTTCATCTGTGACTCTTCTGTGGAACTGGGACTCAAAGTAACTGCCAGTTGAATCCAAATAAAATCTGATTAGTTTCTTGACTCCTCGCGATTTCTTCTATAATACGATGCTGCTGCCAGAGCAAATGGAGTTTCTGATAACGCTCATGAGACAAATGCAGGGGGTTGCCCCTCCTTCATAGGAGAAGAAATGAACATATGTTAGCTTGAGTCAAACAACTTCCAATACCTTCTGGCAGCCTACATAGTCTGAGATCTTGAGATGTCTCTGGACCCAGTGCTTAGGCATATAGTGGACACTTAACGAATGCTTGCTGATTTAACTTAGATTTGTTTTACTGAAATAGTTATCATCAGGGCAAGACTTGGGGGAAATAAAAAAAGATAGAGCAAACATTTACCCACACTTGGCAAGCGAAAGAGAAACTCACTCTAATTAAATTCTAACAATCCAAAAAACAAATCAGTGAGTGATGCGGCCTAGGCCTCAGGATGACATTGGGACTGCAAGTTCTCCTTTTCAGCAGAGGAAAGCTCATTGCCCTGCCCTGCCCTTACCCCTCCATGCTGGTTAGACCAAGCTGGGTACTAACTGCTTTGACAGTGTCAGCATATTGCCTACCATCACCCCTCCTCCCCAAAAGAAAGAGTCAGAGCTCTATTCTTTATCTCTGAGGCACTACAAGCCAATGTAATTGGGAAGACCTTGGGAACAGAAAGACAAGGGGAGGTAGTTATGGGGTGGACTGGGGGCACTGGCTCCCAGCAAGAACTTAATTCCTCCCTTTCCTCTCAAAAAACATCACATCGAGGTGATATTCTGTTTAATTTTGGTTGTTATGCTAAGTTTTGCTGGCAAGCAAAATACATGAATTATAGGACAATTATTTATATATGAGTCATCGTGTGATTCTGGGAGCAAATTGTTATAGAGCAGTTGACACAAAAGGGCTCTGACTTGGATCTACCCAGTAATGAAGAACTATGAAATCCTTTCTGGAATAACGGAGATCACATACATTCAACCATTAAAGATTTTCCGCATAACCTGATAACATCCTATTTTTTCAGTTTTCTTGCCTCCATGCCCAGATTCTATTACTCTATAGGACAACAAATACCATTACGATTTAAAAAGACTTTAAAAACTACATAACTTAAGGAATTTCAATTTTCCATTAGAACTACTAGCTTACTCTTTTTGAGGCATATTAAGGACAACAAAATTCTAGTGTAACAACAAAAATCTGTGTCCTAGAGCCCCTTGTAATAGTGATCTGTTTTGTTTGGTCACTGTTTAAAAATACTTAAGAAATATAATATGCTATCTCATGCTTTTGTAGTTGGAGAAGTAGCAAATTATTAAAAATATTTCATGAAACAGAAGATGGCTTCATGTTTAGTAAGAACAAATCAGTAGTACTAATAGGACAGGTCTGCAAACTTATAATTTTTCTTTGTGTTCAGAGTTATGATGGTCATTGCAATCTAGATGTGTGCATGTGGCTAAAAAAATCATCATGGAAAAGCAGTAAATTCCAGTTCCCCAAGACTGCATGACATCAAGTGTCCTTACTTTAGCCCAGGGTCTGTTTCTCCATATTCATCCAGGTAGGGGGCTGGAAACAAGCAGCCTCTGGCTCTGCCTTCAATTAGGACCACTTTGCATTCCCTAATCCTGAAAGAACAAAATGTCACTCACACAATAACAGTGCTAGGTTAGGCACTGTGCCAAAAGAAATTCCAAGAAAACAAAATGATTTTTATCCGTTACAACGACAAGTACAGACATCCAAATATTGGTTGGCAAAGAAGAACTGCTGCTTTTATTAAGATTATGTGTTTAGAAGTTGGGGTTACGGAAAAGTCAGTCAGTCAACCAGTCGCTAACATTTATTAGGTGCTCTACTTTGTTCCAAGTGATGGAGATAGTCTCTGCCTTTGAGGGGCTCACAACCTAACAGGGGACAACATGCCAATAACTATGTACAAACAAGTTCAAGTAAGGATAAATTAGAAACAGCCTCAGAGGGAAGATCTTAGAATTAAGATGGGTCAGGAAAGGCTTCCTGTAGTAGGTGAAATTTCAGCTGGGACTTGAAGGAAGCTAAGGAGACCAGTAGATAGAGATGAGGGTGGGCATTCTAGGCATGAGGGCAAGCCAGAGAAAATGCACAGAGCTGAGAGATGGAATGTCTTATTTAAGTAACAGCAAGGAGGCCTGTGTCACTGGATCAAAGAGCAAAGATCCAGCAGGACTATAGCAAATAGGTTCAGAAGTAGTGGTAGTACATACCAGAGGAAGAAGGACCAGTGGGAGTCCTATCTGAGCCTCCTTGAAAGAATGACTAGAGCTTCTAGTTAGTATCTTATCAGATATATGAGAAAGAGGGAAAGGGCTGAGCAAAAGACTTGAACTACATAGCTTCACAAAATTTTAGTGCTGGAAATGCCTCTAAGAGGTCCTCTACAAATCTTAATAGTCTTATGATCTCTAATCAGACTGGGGTTCAAGTTGAGGAGTGTTTTCTCTTTCTAACTACCATCTAACAAAGGGTCAGAATACAGGCAAGCCAAATCCAGACACCTCCCCCCCAAAAAAAGCTAAGAATGGTTTTTACTTTTTAAAATAAAGTTTTATTGAATTTAAAAACGTAAAAATCATTCTTAGCTCTTGGACAGTACAAAAAAGCGGGCCAGATTTGACCTTCAGACCATAGTTCGTGAGCCCTAATTTAACACGAGAATTCTATAAATTTTATTCCTTCACTATACCTGCAAGTAGTAAATATCATTAGTGTGTATAACTCTTTTCCCTATACTTATATCCCAGTAGTACTCAAAAAGCATTCATTCTTAACAGTACATGGGAGAGGGAGAATGTATACATGAGCTTGTGTAGGAGGAAGAAATTGCTAGAGATGAACCAGAGAACTTGAGTAGGAAGAAAGAGAATTCTTGGGGAAGAAAATACACATAGCGCTTAAAATGTTTGTACATGGGCTAACTCATCTGATCCTTACAACAGCCTCTGAGGTTAAAGCCAAAGAGCTGAAGGACAAGCTGGTTGATTCAGTAGCTGCAGACGCCCTCGGTAAGCCAAATCCTATGCAGGGAATTTGGTCCTTGGGTTTCAGTACTCCATCAGGCCTAAGCTTCCAGCTTCTCATTCTTCCCCCACTCCCCACTCTCCTCCCAGCTGAAACCTGAGAGCCCTCATTGCTAGCGTCTTCCCTTTGAGGTTACTTTCCACCAACTACCTTTTTTTTTTTTTCCCAGTGAGGCAATAGGGGTGAAGTGACCACACACTAGTGAATGTTATGTGTCTGAGACTGAATTTGAATTCAGGTCTTCCCGACTCCAGGGCTGGTGCTCTATCCACTGCGCCACCCAGCTGCCCCCCACCAACTACCCTGAATAGATTTTCTAGGCATATGTGAGTTCCTTGAGGATAGGGACAGTGGTTTGACCTTCTCTGTATCCCCAACACTCAGCACTGTGCCTGGCCTGCAGTAAGCACTTAATAAGTGCTAGACTGACTAACCAAATTACGTTACTGAATTAAAACACTAATAGCTAGTTATTCTATTCAATTCCTTCTCCAGCGCCTCACTGTGTTGGAAAGATGAATTAAAGACTATGCGAGTCTGAAGGTGAGTTTTGAAGACTATGCCAATCAAGTGCAAGTCCTGGTAAAATTGGAGGGTCTTTGAGCATGAACCTGGTGGTGAAATACTGCTGTTGTCTGAGGAACTATAACTAAGTTTGGGGAGGTTCATTACTGGAGGGTTGGCTACCAGGTAGTGATTGGGGGAAGGGGTCAACAGACACTCATTAAATCATCTTTGAAAATGTAGAGGTGGGTTTGGTTTTTTATTTTGCATTGTATTGGTTTCATCCACTTGGATGAAATAGTGATTTCTTGAAATACTTAAGTAGTAGCTAAATAATAATAAATTTCTTTCTCCATATATTTAAAGGTGTTCACCCTTCTTTCTAAGTTTGAATCTAACATACTCCATGGGCTTATATAGAAAAATTCTGGTACAGACAAAGTACATTTACATGGGGAGAATTGGGAAATGGAAGAAAAACAAGGAATATAAGAGCTAGAAGAGACCTTTAAAAGTTGTCTAATCCAGTTATCTGATAATTTATCTATTTTATAAGTGAAGAAACTGAGGCCCAAAAAAGGCAAGTGCCCCAAAAAAGAGCCCTTCAAATACACTAGATTTTTCCTCTCCTGCCCTGGCAACCTTCTTCTCACATCCCTCCCTCAAACTCCTTCATTTCAGGGCAGTCTTCCTTCCTCTTTTCCAAAAAGCTGGGCTGTAGTTGCCTTATTGCCTATCTGTTCTCTATTTGTTAAGCTTATATCTCAGCTTCTTTATTTATGCTTTTCATTGGCTCTAGATACATGGGTCTTTTGTTGAGAAGAGTAATAATGGTGGCAGTTAGAAGGGAAAGAGATTAAAGTGTGAACCTGGAACTTCCTTCAAGTTTCAGCTAAAACACCACCTTCTACAGAAAGCCTTTCCTGATCCCCTTTAATTCTAGTGTCTTCCCTTTGTTAATACTTCCTTTTTATCTTGTATTTACTTTTTTTCTACACAGTGGTTCACATGCTGTCTGCCCCAAAAGATTATGAGCTCCTCGAGGGAGGGGCTATCTTTTGTCTTTCTTTGTATCCCCAGAGCTTAATACAGTGTCTGGAACATGGTAGGTGCTATTTTATCTATCTATCTATCTATATATCTATCTATATATCTATATATATATATGTAGTAAACAAGTGCTTATTGACTCACTGATATTCAAATTTTTAAAATAGAAAAAAATTTAAATTTTAAAATTTAAATCCCAGAAAATTGCATTTCTGTTTCTCCTGGTTATTTTACAACCATGATTATTTTATACTTTGATTTATAAAAACAATGAACAAAGTCTCAATGCACATTTACAAGACTTTCCATAAAATTATCAAATACTATAGCCATTTGCCACATTTTTCAAAAGATAATCTAAATCTTGCTCTTACACTAACACAAATATACAAACAAACTTCACATTATTATCTGCAATTAATAACTATCACGCAATGTTAGGTTCCTTTGAAGGGTTCCCTAAATTCATCATAAAAATCTCCAGTAACTCATTACTTACTTTAGAAACATGCAGACTCCAGCTCCACAGTGAATAGCATGAAAAATGCAGGCTCCAACCTCCTCCCCATTCACAATTTCTTGGCAGCAAATATTCTGAGAGCACAACATGGTCCCACAGAAGAGACACAGGACTGGGTGTTTTCGCTCATCATCTGAAGACCTCGGGCACCTTAAAAACAAAGAGAGAAGACCAAATTGAAGTTGAGGAAAAAAAAGGTCACAGTGCACAAAAGAAGCAATGTTTTTAGCCTTTGTTTTATAAAACCATGTGTCTATTTTCCAGAAAGAAAGCTCCTAAAGTACCAGGCAATATGTAATCACAAATATTCTTCTTCTTTATTTTAATACTTGCCAAATAATTTTCATCAAAATATTTCTTGATAATTTCATAGGAAGAAAAACTTAAAATTGATAGCAGCCTCATGATTTGTTTGGTAATGTTGGTTTGGGAGTAACATTTCAGTTGTAGAAAAAAAAATTTCATTGAACAAATGAGACAGAATTTGTGGATTTGGTTACACAAAAATTTTGCATAACAGGCAAATTTCTCCTCCCAAAAGAAAACAATTGAAAAAATATTTTCAGCAAATATGTGACAAAAAAGTGACTTCTGCAATCTATAATAAACTGATACAAATCTATAATACCCATTCCTCAATAGTACACTGGGTAAAGAGCATGAGCATACGATTTTCAAAGGAGAAAATACACATAGCTAGCTAACAACTTGAAAAACTGTTTAAACTCTCTACTAACAAGAGAAATACATTTTTTTATTAATTTATTTTGATTTATCAACAATCACTTCATAAGCTTTCGAGTTTTAAAATTTTTCTCCTCCTTTCTTCCCCCCTCCCTCCCCAAGATAGTGTGCAATCTGATATAAGCTATACATATATATTCCTATTAAACATATTTTCCCACTAGTCATGTTCTAAGGAAGAATTAGAACCAAACCACCAAAAAGAAGAAACAAAACAAAACAGAAGAAAAAAAAAACAGCAAATAGTATGCTTTGATCTGCATTTAAACTCCATAGTTCTTTCTTTAGATGTGGATGACATTTGCCATCATGTGACCTTTGGAAATGTCTTAGATCCTTGCATTGCTGAAAAGGGCTAAGTCTATCAATGTTAGTTATTGCACAACATGGCTGTTACTGTGTACAACATTCTCCTAGTTCTGCTCACTTCACTCAGCATCAGTCCATACAGATCTTTCCAGGTTTTTCTGAAGTCTGCCAGCTCATCATTTCTTATAGCACAATAGTATTCCATTACATTCACATACCACAACTTGTTCAGTCATTCCCCAATTGATGGGCATTCCCTCAATTTGCAATTCTTTGCCACCACAAAAAGAGTTGCTATAAATATTTTTGTACATGTGGGTCCTTTTCCCATTTGTATGGATCTCTTTGGGCTACAGCCCTAGAAGTGCTATTGCTGGATCAAAGGGTATGCACATTTTTATAGCCCTTTGGGCATAGTTCCAAATTGCTCTCCAAAATGGTTGGATCATTTCACAACTCCACCAACAATGCATTAGTGTTCCAATTTTCTCACATCTTTTTCAACATTTATCATTTTCCTGTTTTGTCATGTTGGCCAGTCTGATAGGTGTGTTTGGTACCTCAGAGTTGTTTTGATTTGCATTTCTCTAATCAATAGTGATTTAGAGCATTTTTTCATATGACTATAGATGGCTTTAATTTCTTCATCTGAGAACTGCCTGTTCGTATCCTTTGACCAGAGAAACACATATTAAAAACAACTGTAAGGTACCACTTTACACCTATCAAACTGGATATTGTGAAGGATGATAAAATTCAAAGTGGAGCTGAATGGGGAAGCACATTGCTGATGGTAGGATTAGTTCTAAGTATCCTGAAAAAACAATCTGGCTATCCCAACCTCAATGTCATACTCAATGTCTTGACACTGTCACTCACCCCACATATCCAATCAGTTGCTAAATCTCGTCACATCTTTTGAATATGTCGCTTTTTCTACTCACAAAACCACTTTCTGAGTTTGGGCACTCATCACCTCTCACCTGCACTAGTTAAGTGGCTTCATTAGTCTTTAGGTCCTAATTCTCCCTACACTCCAATTGATCTCCTACACAGCCGCCAAAAATTATTTTCCCAAAAAGACACGCCTCTCTAATTACATATGTCTTTGTTTTGCATTTAAATTCTTCACAACCTAGCCCATCCTGCCTTAATCAAATCAAATGAGAGAGTATATATAAAGTACTTTCCAAGCCTTAAAGTGCTTTATAAATGATAGACATTATTACCGTTGTTGAGAGCCAGTGTAGTGTAATGGACAGAGGGACTGGCCTTGGAAGCCAGGTCTTGCTTCTGATATATGCTGGTTATATGACCCTAGGACTTTAGCAGACTTCATCTTCAATGAATCAGCCATACGATAGAGCAACCAGAAAAGCTAATGCTAACTTACATTGCATCAACAGAACCATACTGAATACAGTGAGAAAGGGGTTAGGCCAGAAGTGGGGAGCTTGCAGCCTCAAGGCCACATGTGGCCTTCTATATCCTTGGCTGCAGCCCTTTGACTGAATCCAAGCTTCACAGAACAAATTCCCTTAATAAAAGGATTTGTTCTGTAAAACTTGGACTCAGTCAAAAGGCTGTACCCAAGGACCTAGAAGGCCACAGTTTCCCCATCCTTGGGCTAGGCCTTCTATCTTCTTCCCTCAGAAGACCCCATCTGGTGTACTATGTCCGGAATGGGTGTCACATTTTAGAAGGGACAATGATAGGCTAGATCATGTCAAGAGGAGGGTGAGGACACTGGAAGTTGTACATAGATGAATGAGCTGAAGAAACAAGAATTGTTTAATTAAAGACTTCAGGGGAAATTGATCACATATTTGAATAATTCCTTCTTACTTGAATTGAGAAGCCTGGTTCAGGAGACAGCTGTAGTCTTCTGGAAGTTCTATCAATTTATTTCTTTTTCTGGGGTACCTAGGCATTTAATATAAGAGATCACATTTCATATACGTATAAACTTAAAACAGACTAAGGTGAGGGAAGGGAATTAAGATTGTCAGAAGGTAGCAAATGAATGGCTCCCTCTGCTTTAGACCCGACACTGAATCCTGTTATATACTGAATAGATGGCAAACTAATAACGGTGGGATTCAAAGTCCTCCAACTTGTTCCATGTTTCTATTTAATTTTATATTTCACTGCTCCTGTGAGCTGGTGAAACCCTGTTTGACTGGTTTAGTCCTAATCCAGGTGCATGGATTAAGGCATCTAAGGCTTAATGGACTGGGAGACTGGACCCTTTTGTCCCCTCTCCCCAGATGCTAGCTTGCTAAGGCACAGTTACAGTTAAGTTTCCTGGCTGCCTGCCATCAATTCCTCATTCTTTATTAAGGAATTCAGAGATTATACTCATTTCAGTAATCTACACCACATGTGTCAAACACTCCAGTATAATCAAATTAAAATACATTAGGAAATATTTAATAAAATAAATAAAACTACAATAGAACACAGATAATATTACGTGGTTTTCTAAGTCAAAATGCGGTTAGCAGAGATCTTTATGTGTGATTTAGTAACTCTGTTTTTATTAAACACCACTGGTCTAAAAAGTCCCACTGCCTTGTGTCACTGATGAGAGGGCACTGTCCCGTAAGTGCCACTATCACCTCTCTGTCTAAAATCTCTATATAAAAGTTCGTGCCCTAAGTGGCTCTGGGCTGCTGCACAATTGGAATGTGCGTAACGCTGCAAGTCCAGGCCACCAGACCTGTGCTGCCCCTGGGAATGCAGGGAAGTGGGGGCCACATACCCATGGGGTTCTCTCTTGGCATGTGTTCTCCTATAACTGCTAGGCTCCCTTCTTTTTGCACTGAAACTCCCAAATGAGAACCTGTTGCAGTCAGATCTTCTCTTATTATCCTTAGCCCATACTATGCTCATTCCTGCCTTTGAACATACTCTTTTCCTTCTTAAATATATTCCCTGCTCCTTTCCACCTATCTAAATCCTGCACATCCCTCAAAGTACTGTCCCAAGATCTGCTTCTATCATGAAGACTTCCCTCTGCATGGAATGATTCTTTCTTTCTTTCTGGGAATTCCTATAATAAAGTCTGTTATATACAACAGCACATTTTAATTTACATTGTCTTTTTTTTTAAATGTATGGATATATTATCTCCCTAATTATCTGCTGTAAGACTGTATATCCTGCTTTACCTTAGCACCTTCCGAGGGGCACAGTGTAAAGCTCTGGATGATAATTGTTAAATTGAGATGCAGAGCTATGGTGTTAGCTCCTGGTTAGGTCTCCAAATGGGGTGTTCTGGCTAGTTCGAGTTCTGTTGTAATTCTTTTATTAGTTTAGCTTATTCTCTCCTTCCTTATAATTCTATGCCCTTCCCTTTGCTATATAAAAGCAAAGCTGACCTCAAGAACAAAGTGGCTGGCACTAGAGAGACAGTGAAGTTTTCTATTCCCTAGGAATATTTACATAAAGAAATATAGGAGATGAGGAAAATGCCTCATTTGTGACAGTCTGGGTTCTGTTTGCCCCAGACATTTTCCCCCCATGTAAATGGTGATGGCATCCTAACATTGGGAGGCCATTTCTGTGACTGCCTTTAATTAGAGGGATGGTTCTCAAACCATATACACAGACCACAAACACACTGCAAGGGGTCTGAGGATCCATTTGTACAGCAAATACTATTATTCTGTTGTTTCAAAGAAATTTGGACAAGAAAGGGAAGAGAGATATTGGGCAACAGCTTGAGGAGATGATAGGGTCCAGTGAAGGTTTTTTAGGGTTGGTTGAGACTTGGGTATGTTTGAAGTCAATAGAGAAGCAACCAGTTGATAGGGAAAGGCTGAAGATTTGGAGGGGAGGATAATTCAGGATGCAATGCACTGGAAGAGATGAGAGGAGATAAGATCAAATGTACATATAGAGGGGTTAGTCTTAGCAAGTAAAGAGAGTACCTCTTTATAGCCAGGGAAGAAGGAAGGAAGAGTGACAGATGAGATCAAGGAGTTGTGACACTGAAGAGCACTGGAGAAGAATTAATTTCAGGCAAAGAACCCACACATTTAAAAAAAAAGTGTGTGTATACATACACACACACACACATGCACATACACACAATGGGGAACAGAGGACAAAGGAGGAGGTAGGTAGGTATCTTACATGCACAGTGGAAGGCATAATAACTACTTCAGAAAAGAAAGTTGAAAAAGTAGAACCCACCTGACCATAGTGTTTTGTCCTTTCAAAAGGCTGTGTAAGGCAGGATCAGAACACCACCTGGACAGCAGAACCACCCCCCCAGAAAACAACAACAAAAGGTGAGTATGATATCACAAGTAAAGACCAATGGCCAAGAACGTGGCTTTTTTCTCCTATCTTTTGTATCCCATTTCTTTCAAGTTGACATCTTGTCTCTTTTCTTATTTTCCTTTCATTCCTTTCTTCTATTATTGTTGTTGTTGTTATTATGGCATGGATCTTGGTTACAAAGGTTGAAATGGAATAAACAGAATATACCTGAATAAACATATAAGCAATTCAACAGTCCAAAATTCTAGGAATAACAAAATTCTAACTAAAATTGGCATAACCTATCACAGTTACACTCAACACAAATACTGACAGATTTTAAAACTGATTTAACTGATTGTGGGAGAGGGAAATGAGGTATAGGAGGAGAGAAAGAAGGGGAAAAGAAGAGAGGGACAAGAATGGTGGAGAAAGGTGAGGCAAGAAGGGAAGAAGAAAAGGGAGAAAGAAGGAAGGAAGGGAAGGGAGAAAATGGAGAAGGGAATGAAAGGGAGAGGAAAGAAAAAAAAGGAGAGGAGCAGGGAAAGGAGAGAGAAGAATGAGAGAGGTAGGGGAAGTAGAGGCAAGTCATTTATAGATAAAAGTCTACAGAAGAAATAAAGTTGAGTGGATGGATGATCAAAAAAAGGTAAGTTTTAAAATGAAAAATTTTTTGTAAAAAATGGATTACAGGAATTGAGAAGAAAAGTGCACTATCTTCCCTTTTGAGGAAGCAATGCCAGCAGAGTAGACATTCTTTTGAGTGAGTGACAGAAAGCAGTTAACATCCTGGTTGGTGTAAACCAATATTAAGCCCTGTTCATTCACTGCTGATCAGTCTAAGGCAGTCTTTTCAAATTTCTAAAGTTATGTGTTGTCCCAATACCAAGACAAAATGACATTTTGCCTGCTTAGTACCTCTGGAGCAAGGGGCTTATAGTATCTCGATATTCTTGGAAAAGCAGGAACAGATTGGTGGGTAAGGATAAATAGCTACAGAGTGCATTGAATTGACCTTCCTCACAAACTGAAAGAGAAGAAAAACACATTTAGTGAGCATATTATCCCATACTAGGGATTATATTATTAGAGTTTCTATCCATTTTACATTTTTTATATCTTTATGAAATTGAAGTTTGCAAATAAGTCATCAACTGCACAGTGAAATCATATGAGAGAACAAAACAAAACGTGTATTCATAATTGCTTAGGAAAAAGCCATCTACTTTATCAATAATCTTAAGAGTTACAAGGCACATATGTTGGCTAAAGTAGGGTTTTAGCCAAGAGGTGAATTCACCCCCTTCATTAACACACCAAGAGAAAAGAATGAAGCTTGTAGAAACATTAAGACCTAGAGGGTTTCTTGACTCCTGAACTCAAATCTCAAAGTGCAAAAACCACTTGGATAGTTGGTAAGAGCTAATTCAGAAAACCCCAATAAAAATAGAGTGAGGGTGAAGTTAGAAATATCTCTTGGCTCTAGGTGGCACATTACTGTAGAAAAAAGCATTGGGTTTGTATTAAGAGGTTTGGTTTGATTCCTGACTTTGTTACTTTCAATCTGTGTGAGTTGGGGAAGTCAAAACCTCTCTGGGCCTCAGTGACCTCATCATAAAATGACAAGATGGAACCAGATGCTAAGGTCCCTTCCAGCTTAAAATCCTACGAGCTATGATATGATCAGTCAAAATAATAACAACCAAACTCTAAGAATTAAGCAACTGGTGCATAAGAATCTAAAACCAGATGATCTTGAAAAGCTCAGCTATTTAGCTAACTGTTAGACAGCAGAGCAGGAATCTTTAGTCCAACTGAGTGTTATTATAAGCAAAATGGACCTTATTCTTGCTTTTATTATTAAGGAATACACATTCCCCAGGCCAGGCATGGAGGGCTAGGGTATCAGGTCACCTCCTCTGTTGCTTCCACGTACCATTATAGCCAAACAAAGGAAGAAATGACACCTGCTTTGTAGAAACATGCTTCATGTGTGCATTTTACATCTGAAAAGAACATTCTAAACACAGGCCAAGATGTGACTTAGAGAATATGAAGACAGCTTTTTTTATGATCTCATTTCTGAATGACCCACAGATGCAACATTAGCGTGGTACCAGGGCTAATCCATGCATACAGTGTGAGAACAGACTATGTTTCCTTGGGCAAGTGGTTTTCCATTAAACTGTATTGCCTTTATCCTTGAGCTTGAAGGAGAAAAATGAATTTTCTCTGGGAATCCCCAAATTTCCAGCTCTTTGGCTTATTTTCAATACAGAATGGCAGTCTTATTTACCTGAAAGCAGTTCTTCTGGTGGTGGCACTTTCAGCAAATAATGGAAAAACAAAGCAGCACATCGAAGGTAAGGGGTAATGCCTCTCTTCAAACAATCCCATAAATACCAACCAGGAACATCATAGCTGATGCATCTATAGGACAGAAATTCCAAAAGACTGCAGATCAAAAAACTGAAAAGAATGAAATTCTAAGGTCTTAAATTTGTCCTTTTTTTAACTTATGTTTTATTTTATAGCTATTTAAGACAAAAAAAGTTTAAGATTTGTTTATTTAGAATTTGTTCTATAATTTTCTGGGAAAAAAAAACAGTATTTCTAGCAACCTTCGCTAGTTTCTGCAGCAATGAAATCACTCTTCCGCCTACTCTCTTCCTGTCCCTTTTTTTCATTATAAAAGGCTAACACATTTACTCTTAGGTTAAAAAAAAAATTAAAGAAATTCAGAATTTCATGCTGCAACACCTTTGAACCGACTCTTGAGAGTATTACCCTTCAGTAATAAAATGTAAATCACAAAACACTAATATAAATAAGTACTACAATATCAATCAATATTCTCTTGCTATTTGCTAAATGCTATTTGCCTGTTGAAAGAGAAAAAAGGAAGACTAGGGAAGCCAGGCAGCAGACATACAGAAACAAAGTAGAAGTACGATATTTCAAACTTCTGTAGTATCAACATACTTTACTTACATTACTTAATTGGTCTTAACGACTCTAATATGAGCAAGTGTGTAGCTAAATGAAGTGCTATATGAGGGTCAGTTGGGTTATAGAATTGAAAGAACAATTTGCTGTGTTTCTAAAATATCGCTTTAAAAAAAGCTAGTCCAAAATCCATTTTATTTTCAGAGATGACTTCAGTTATTTGTTCACATGATCCACTGAGGCCTTACTTCACAGAAAAACCATCTTATGTAATCATACACTTTGTATCTACTCATTAGTAGCAAAAGAAGTCACACATTAAAGGCCTTTATAGTAATTCTCTAATACTAACAGCTATCTATGCATATGGCCATATTTTGTTTTTGGATGAGAAACCTTGCAGTATGATCTAAAAGTACTTTTTTTCATAATTGTAACAGTATTTGGTCATTTCTCCTTGTCTCATGACTTTTAACAGAGAATAATAAATCTGCCAGTTGTATCCCAAATACTCCCTATTTCTCCTTTGGCTGATCCCCCTCTTTCTCTATCCCTCCTTCCCCTGTGAAACGCTTTACTTACCTATCTAAGCTAGTGCAAAATGCTACTGCTTGTCTGTGGAGTCTAAGTGGGCTTGAAAGGTTACAAAAATCAAATCTGTACTCTAGGAGCCTACAGTTAAGATAACAGAGTTCCTTAGCATGCTAATACATTTCTTTGTTTTCAGTCTGACTTCTTCTCTTTTACCCACAATTATTGGACCCCAGCTGGACAGGTATGTCTTTGCCAAAAGATCCCATTTCTCTTGGTTGAAAAAACTCCTGAACAAACTCCAAGTGCTACTTACCCACCAAAATACTGAGAAATTTCTGAGCAGAAAGAAGATGCAAAATGAGCCTCCTCACTATCTTCTTGTAACTCGGCAGGTAGATTGTCTGTGAAGAAGATAACCCATGAAATGATTTCACTCATTTAGTACTCAGTTACAAATGGCAAACTCTTTGTTCCACAGGGCTAAGATGCTTTATATTCCCTTAAAAAGATGCAAGAGGGGACTTTTGACTCCAAGTGGTTAATTCTGTAGATTAGTACTGTTAAGTCAACTTTGCTAGAACAAGACCTTGCTAAATATGGGTGTTTAATAAATGTTGGCCATTAACATAATAATCACATAGATTAGCAGTCATCCACCTACCCCAGTGCCTAGGAATTTTAGCCAGGCTGGTAGGAATTCAACCTGCAAATGGGGAAGCAGATTGTTGCTCCTGCTGCTGTTGCCACCAAGCTCAATCTTAGAAGCATAGGGCTGGAAGGGACTTTGTGAGGTCATTTAGTTCATCCCCCTGTCTTCAGGCAAGGCCATACCTAAACCATCCCAGAAAGATGAGAATCTATCTTAATTTTAAAAACTTTCAGAGAAGGGGCTTCCAAAACCTCCCCTGTCAACCCATTTCAATAGTATGAAAGCTCTTCATATTCCTGAAAACTATCACTAAATTGCTTGGGCTGAAAAAATGCCATTTCCTCCTATATTTTATCCCATGCTTTTAGTCCTCTGTGTTCCTCTTATGAATTCTCTTTGGGCCTTCCATATCTCTCCTTAATGGCTGATCCCATAAATGTCCATAATATTCAAAGAAGTATTGAGCATAAAAGATAAGGATAGTTCCAACATCTCATATTACTTATGTATCCTCAAGTTTTTCATTCAAAATTTACTTAGGGCATATCACTAGTAAGGCAGCTAGGTAGTATAGTAGGATAGAGTGCTAGGTCTGAAGTGAGGAAAACCTGAGTTCAAATCCAACCTCAGTTACAGGCTATAAGACCTTGGACAAATCACTTAATATGTCTGCCTCAGTTTCCTCAACTATAAAAGGGATAACAACACCACCTACCTCCCCGCGTTGCTGAGAGGACTGAATGAGATAGTATTTGTGAAGCGCAGTGCCTGGCTCATAGTGGCCACTTAATAAATACTTGTTCCCTTCCTTTCCCCCTCCACATACAAGACACTGTACTAGGTGCTGTTAAGGGATATAAGGATGAATAAAGACTTACAATATAGGAGGGAAGCTAAGACAAGGTATGCTTAACATAAGGGAATAAAAAAGGTATAAAGGACTATTAGAATTCACAGGAGAAATGGTGCAGCTAGGTGGCGCAGTGGATAGAGCACCGGCCCTGCAGTCAGGAGGACCTGAGTTCAAATCCGGCCTCAGACCAAACACTTGACACTTACTAGCTGTGTGACCTTGGGCAAGTCACTTAACCCTAATTGCCTAAAAAAAACAAAAAAAACAAAAAAAAGAATTCACAGGAGAAATTCCTTTTCACTGGCAGGGCTGGGAGAGAAGAAAAGAAGACCAAGAAAGAGACAGTAAGTGAAGCAGGCCTTGAAGAATTTTTATAGGCAGAAATTAGAGGAAAGAGAATTCCAGGTGTTGGGGAAAAAAATGTGAGCAAAGGAATGGAGGTAGCAACGTGCAAAGAATGTTCTGGCAATGGAGAGTTGTCCAATTTGGCTCCAATATAAGATTCATAGAGTGCTAAGTGATATAGTTGGAACGATAGATTGGGATTGGATCAATGAAGGTCCTGAGAGACATGGTAAGGAACTTGGATTTCATCTGGTAGACAATGGGGAACGAATGAAGGTTTTTGATATAGGAAATGATAGCTCTGTTTACACTGGACTGGAGTAGGGGTAGACTAAAGGCAGGAGAACATGTAGTACATGTAGTACAGGTGAGGTGTAATGTGGACTGAAACTTGGTTAGTGGTAACAGGAATGGAAAGTCAACAGATGCAAGACGTAGGGTAGATTAGATTAGATTAGATTAGAGAGGACGATTATGAGTTCAAGGATACATACACACATATATAGGTAAGTATGTGTGTACATGTATGTGTGTATATGTATATATAGACATATATGTATATATAAGTTATACTGCTTTTATACTTTGATATATATGTCAGTGGTCCTCAAACTCTTTAGTCTTAGGACCCATTTACACTCCTAAAAATTATTAAGGGTCACTCAAAGAACTTTTGTTTATGTGGGTTATATCTATCAATATTTATCATATTAGAATTTAAAATGGCATAGTCATTACTATTAAAATACTTTTGATCTTGTGGACTCCCTGAAAGGATCTAGGGGATATCCTTAGACCACACTCTGAGAACTGCTGGTTTATAGACTATTATGTCATATATAACTATTGATATAATTTCTACTGGGCCTGGAAATGGAAAGACTTGGATCCCAGAAAAAGATATAAAGCTACCTTAGCTAGGGCCTCTGACAATAGACTCAATGACAAAAGGTCAGAAAAGGTTAACAAAAGGTCCAGGACTGGCCACAGTGCATGTGTCACATGTGAGATATTTTCTGAGGGTGTTTCATCTCCCAACGTTTTAAGATTTGTGTACTGAGCTAGCACCATATGAGAATTCATTACAGTCCTGGGGCTTAGTCTCTAGTCTGACTTCCTGTTGTCCAATCTTTAGACAGGGAACACCCTATGATCTCCAACTTCCATCATCACAGGATACTGGAAGGTAGAGGTACCAAACAACTAGTGGCTGTAACTAGTAAACTTGCACCTGCTATTTCCCTGATCCCAATGACTGAAGGCTCACATCTCTTCAGCCCTCTTCCCTAAATACCTTTCTTTGTATTAGTCTCCACCCAGCTCAATCCAACCATTTCCCGAGTCCAGTTTCCTGTTCTACCCTCCTTTTCTGTTATGTCCTCTAGAATCCCCCACTCAATTGTTAAAAAAAAAACTTCCATTTTTCCTCAATTTCTTCTTCTCATACTTTTCCCACATCCCTTACTCACAAAAGCCTGGATTTCTTAAAAAGATACGAGTATTATTTCTTGTTGCATTTTGTCTCACGTTTCAAGAAATACTAGGTTAGGAAAAGGAACTGGCTTGTTCTCTTTCTGCATTGCCATGTCTTAATCCTCTGTCTGCCACCATGATCAGCAGCCCTCTTTCCCCTGTGGTTCATTCCATCTATCTATAGCACCCTACCCAAAGCCTTATTTTGGTCCTTTGCCAGCTTTTGCTTCCTATTTCTCAAGGAGTTCAGTTCCTAGGTCACAGCCTTCTACTAGAGTCTAAACACTGCCTCCTACCTGAAGACTTCTAACATACATGCTGATATTCTCTCAGGCACCCGAGTTCACCAATCTCTTCAACTCAAATGAACTACAGCTCCATTTTACCTCAGACATTTATAGGGTGGTTACACCACAGCTCCTATCATCACTGATAACTGTGACATTTTCATGATTTCAAGCTCAGAAATCCCTTCTCTGATCACAATCTCCCGTCCTTCCATCTATCCCTCTGCTGCACTCCCTCTAAGCCTATTTTCTGATCTCACTGCAACCTCCAGTTTGTCTCTTTCATCTTGTTCTCCTAGTCTATCCTTGTTCTGCCCTCACTTTTTCTTCTCTCCATTGTTTTGATCCTGGAGTTGACCGCTTCAGTCATGCACTGTCCTTTATCCATGACTCCTTTTGTCCCCTGCCATACTGCCATTCACATCCTGCCAACCCTCAATTTTGGAACACTCTCACCATATGCCTTGTCTGCTCATTCTGAAGTTGATGCTATTGGAAGAAGTCACATTACTTTGTTAACTGAGTCCACTACAAATTTATATTATCTAATCTCAACTGGAAAACAAGGCAAAGCTTTTATTCCTCCTGGATTACCTTTAATATAGATGTCCTATTTCACTGGAGAAACACAGGTAATCCATCTATGGTGAATTCCTTCTCTCCTACTTGACACTTCAAAATCCCTCTTCAGCTTCACCTTTCTTCACTCCTCTCTTGGACAAAAAGTGTCCCCTCTCTTTGCCAAGGGCAATCTCTCTCCAGGTAACTCCTCCCAATTCTAAGAGCTTGCTTCATTAATCATTCAGTATCTTTCTTATCTTCAATCTTTTCTTATCAACTGTCTTTTCCTTCACTAATTACAAATATTTCTATTCCTATCCCATCGTTAAAAAACTTTTTTTGGGTGGGGGGTTAGGCAATGGGTTTAAGTGACTTGCCCAGGGTCACACAGTTAGTAAGTGTTAGATGTCTGAGGCCGGATTTTAATTCAGGTACTCCTGAATCCACGGGCTGGTGCTCTATCCACTGCGCCACCTAACTGCCCCTAAAAAACTCTTACTTGACCCTGATATGTCCTCAAGCTATTATACGATAGCTTACCTTTCTTTCACTGTGAAACTCCCAGAACCATCTATTCCTTCTGTCTCCACATTCTTATCACCCACTTTCTTTTCAGTTCTCATCTCCTTAGCACTCTTGGCAGTTATGAATATTGTTGCCCATGCCTCCATATTAGATAGCCTACCCTTCCTTGGTATACTCTTCCTTGCTCTCTCTTGGTTCTCCTCCAATCTGCTGCTACTTAGTGGTCTCCTTTGTTCATCTCTTGCTCCCTTAAAGTAAGTTTTCTCTACGGCTCTGTCCTAGGTATTTTTCTCTTCTCCTTTTAAGCTCACTATATTGGAAATCTTATCAACTACCATGAGTTCAAATACTAACTCTATTCAGTTGACCCAAATCTATATGTCTAACTCTAATTTTTCTCTTGAAAGACAGTCCCATACCTGCTAATTGGTCATTTCCATCCAGATAACTCATAGGCATCTCAAATATAACATGTTCTAAATGCTCTTGCTCCAAATTCTTTGATTTCTGTTAAAGACATTACCATCTTTCCCGTCACCTAGATTTAGAACCACAGGGTCTTCCTTTCCCATTCCCCTCCTATACCAACTGGCTGCCATGTCTTGACAATTCTACCTTATAAAATTGCTCACATACATCCCCTTGTTTCTACTCAGCCATCTCCCTAATTTAAACCACAATCACCTCAAACTTGGACTTCTAAAACTATTTGGACTTTCTGCTTCCAATCTTGTTTCTTTCCAAATCATCATCCATATAGCTAGCAAAATAGTCTTTCTAAGGCATAAGTCTGACCATGTTACTCCCCTACTCAAGAATTTTCAGTGGTTCCCTGTGGGTTTCTATGATAAAATGTAAACTCCTTAGCGTGGCTATGAAAGCCCTTTATAATCTGGAACTAGCTGACCGTTCCAGACTTACTTTATACTACTTCCCTTCACATTCTCAATTATAGCCAAACTGGCCTACCTGCCACTCCTAGAATTTACCTCTGTACCTCTCCATGAGGTGCCAAACCAGGAATAAATACCTTCCTCACCTTTGCCTCTTGGAATCCTTAGCTTTCCTCAAGACTCAGCTCAGGTACAATCTCCTTTAGGAAGCCCTTCTTGATTCTCCTAGTGCTCTCATCCTCTTCAAATGGTTTTGTATTTACTTATCTGTTTACATGTTAGGTAGCAAAGAGGTGCAGTGGATAAAGTGCTAGATATGGAGACAAGAAGAACTGAGTTCAAATCCACTTGCTAGTTGTGTGACTCTGGGCAAGTCAATTAGCCTCTTATTCAAGTTCCTCATCTGTAAAATGGCCATAACAGTACTTACCTCCCAGAGTTGTTGAGATGATCAAATGAGAATATTTGCAAAACATTTTGCAAACCTTAAAGCACTACATAAATGCTAAATATTATGATTACACTATATTATCTCTTCTAGTAGAATGGAAGTTCCTTCAGGTTGGGTACTGTTGCTTTTGTTTGGGTATATCTAGTACCAACTCAGTGCTTTCTACTTTGCTGGTACTTAATGGTTATTGGACTGAACTGAATGAATGAATGCTTTTTACTTTCTCAATTTTCATTATAGTATTCTTACTTGTGTACATGTTGCATTATTCAAAAGAATGTAAGCTGCTTTTTTTTTTAAGCTCCTTGAAGGGAGAGACTATTTCTCATTTTTTGTCACTGAATCCCAAATGCCTTTTGTGTGTATAAGAGGTAACAAATAAATACATACTGGACTAACAGAACAGGTGTGGTATCTATCCAACTAAAGTCCAGTTCCAGTTCCATTCTCCCTTTCTGGAGCCAGGCTTAAGGATGCAAAGCTCTTAGAGCTCCACTAGTGAAGCACAGGCCACAGTCAAAGAAGTCATTAGGCCTGGGCCCCTTATTATGTCCCCAAGCAGATCTGAGAAGCTCATCATCAAGGTCAGAGAAGTTCATTGTAGGAGACGATAATGATTTTTATTTCCTGAGGAGGACAGAGGGAGTGGTCTGGCTGGCTGTGAGTATGCATAAATCAACAAAATTGTGGTTCCCTGAGGTATCGAATTATGTGGCATATAAATGTGTCCACTCAACTACGTATTCAAAAATGATTCTAATGTTGTTATTTATTTGTGAATACAGTGGTTAAAAAGATTAACATATAGCAATCATTTTTTCTACATTAAAAACCTGTGAATACTCTGCTTTGTTTTCAAAGCCCTAATTACGAAACTGGTTGCTGTTTACAGCTCTGATTCTTGTCACATAGGTCACCTCTACTTCCTCTATTTGAAATGCCTACCCCATCTCACCTTCTATAGGAATGCTATCCATTCCTCTAGTCAGAATTTAAGCTCCATCTTCTCCATCCAACTTTCCTAGAAGAATTCAGATCACATGGAGCAGTCTCCTATGAGGTCCTACAGCATTTTTTGTCTGTTAATCATTTGGTTCTTATCATATCCTGTCTATTTTTATCAAAGCTTTAACTAAAGCAAAACAACTGAAATTTTGGTCCAGCGCACCAATCCAGAGGTCATTGAAAGGTATTTGTTATGGTTCTGGTTGTTAGCTATTATGTTACATTATGCTAGCTATAAACTAAGACTATAAATGCCCTGAAGAGGTATTACATCTCATACCTCTCTGAATCCTTCAATGACCCTTTGTACAAACTACATGTTCAAAAAATGTATTATGTGATGATTCACAAGTGGTATGGAATTCCTAGATACCTTCCTTTAGTTAGCGGGAGAGATGAGACCTAGGGGGAGAAGGCTAAAGGAAGCTAAAGAAAAAAAAGATTTGAAGACAACTTAATTGCACAGAGTAGGTATTCAATAATGGTCTAATGAGACCTTTATCAAAAGACTGCTAGTCCATCTCCATTTGCTGCTAAAAAAGCTGTTCTATTTGTTGCTGTTTCCTAGTAAATCAGCCGTGTGACTGGTTTAAAGCTGTACTTTGGTGTGTCCTGACAGTATTTTTCTGCAGTAATATATGGCAAATATATCCCTTCCCTTAGAGTTGTTGTGAGAAAAGTACTTTGTAAACCACAAAACAATAAAGAAATTGAGTTATTATCTAATTTGTTATTCATCATGAATTCCCCATTGATTTCTTTCCATATCACTTAAACATTTCCTATTTTTTATGCTGCATGCCATTTGTTACTACTGTGCTTATATACTTTTTATGACTTGTGCTAACTGCATCACTCCACTGTTACACTTATTAAATTTCATTCTCTTTGCTACATCGTTATTACCCTCCCTTGAGCTTGGCGTCATCAGCAAACAATACAACAATTCGCAAAGTTGTGGGAAGAACCCTTTTTCACCAAGGCTATTTGGCTCCAGCTAATTTCTTGATTTTCCTACCATTCACAGGATCCAGGCTACTAGGAAACCCCTTTGCTGTACATTATCATAACCTACACACTAGGATCCCTAGCCACTTTTTTGCTTGCTACCCATCAGTGGGAAAGAAAAAGTGGTAGCATCTTAAACTTTGAAGATGAAGACCTGTTTTGTTTTGTTTTTTAAAGAAATGTTCTCTATTTTGTTTCTCCCATGACCCCTTTTATTCTTGTTGGAGGAAATGTCTACTTTAGAGAATGCTAAAGAATCTTACCCAATCTCTTAACAATGAGTGGCCCTTTAAGGGGATGAAAGAACAAGGATATGAGGTCTGACTGGACCTCTGATAAAGTGCCAAAGCCACGAGTGGGTCAGCAGTAGAGATCAGATCTCTATGAGTGCTTCTCAAAAAGCCCATACTCTTGTGGATCCTCCTTATCCATCACTATTTCTCCTAAGGCATTTGTTTTCTCTCTCATAAGCAGAAGCAAAATAAAGGTGTCACTATAAGTATGTTGAGGGGCCTACTTAATGCAGCAAATTTTGGCAAGCCTGTTAAAGGACTAAAAATGTTAAACGTGTAGAGAAATGTATAAGGATGATATGGAGAAACGGAGGCTGTGGGATCTGCAATGAAAAAATTTAACAGCCCAGGAACTTTCTACACGTAGATACGGCAGCATCTGAGGAATGAGGACAGGTAGTTCAGTTGTTTAATCCTTTCACAGCCATGTTTATTTTTTCCAACACAATTAGAACAAATTCATTCTGAAGTAAATGGCTGATTCTTCACCAAAGGAAATCACTGAGACCTTGTAGAAATGTGAGATGGTTATTATCCCAAGCAAAATTAATTCTCTATGCTATGAACACAGAGAAAAAAAAAAGCGAGTGTAGGGGAAGGGGATGTTATTTATGGCCATCAAAGTGGAGAGAATTTTACCTGTGTCTATGGTGAGAAGTATCTGGAATATATGAGCCATCGTGATCAAATGGAAGAGATAGAGGTGGTTGTAGGAAGAGCTAACTGATGAAGGCTGCAAGGCAACAGCATCATCCCAATACAAAGATGGGAAAGATGAAACGGCACCCACCTGTGAAAGAAAAACAAATGAATACCAATATCTGTAAAATAAATAGATCAACAAAATCAGTTTCACAGCTAAATGAAAATGGCCCAGATGGTCATTGTTTAAATTTCCACTAACTTTTACTACCACTTACACAGAAAAATACCAAGTGATAAGTCACTGGGTGTAACAGGTTAAGTTGTTCTTGTCACCAAGTTGGGAGCAGCTACCTAAGAGGCCAATCCCCATCTCACCATCAGGACAACTCTCTAAAGTGATAAGTATGCCAGCAATGCACAGTACTAGTTCAGGCAGGAAGCAGGGACAGTCAGCACCCCAGATTCCTTACCTAATTCAATTTCACTGAGCACCCCATATATATGAGAAATTGGGCTAACTTTTGCATTGATATAAAGATGATGAAGACATTCATTTTCTTGCAGAGTTTAAAATCTAATAGAGGGTTAGACAAGTCCATGTGGTAGAATATGCCAATTGAGTATAGATCAAAGGATCACTTAAGTAAAATTTAGAGCTGGAAGGGACCTTGGAAGCCATCTAGTCAAAGCCCCTCGCTTTTAAGGAAGAAGAAAATGAGATGATAGATTAAATGATTTGCCCAAAATCATACAGATAAGTAAGTGGCAGAAGCAGAATTTGAATCTTTCCTCCCTTGGTTCTGTTTCTGACTCTGGACTTCCATCATCCTTTGGCTGCCTTCTAACCCTGAACTTCTCTCAGGACTTGTGACCTTCTCAGCCTGGAATATCCCCCCACCCTTGAGTTCCTCTTGGAAGCTCCATACTGAGGAAGGACCCCAGCCATCCATTCTTCAATTCCTCTCCCAGAGTGCTTCTGACTCTCTAGACTTTGTCACTTTCTCTCTCCCTATCTTGCTTTCTGGATTGCTTTTGTGTTGTCTTCCTCTATTATAAGGTAAGCTCCTTAAGGACAGGGAGCTTTTTGCTGTCTTTTTGCTTCCCTCTGTAATCCCCAACACTTTGCACAGTGCCTGGAACATGTTAAGTGCTTAATAAATGCTTACTGAATAATGGACTCTGGGTCCTTTAACTTGGACCCATTGCTCTTTCCACTGTACCACATAAAAAAAGCTTAAAGAAGTACTGTATGAGTTCAGAAGAAAAAGAACTCACAACTTACTAGGTGAGGGAAGGTGTGTAGGAAACAGGGAAAGTATGAAATGGGCAGAATTTTGACAAGCAAAGATAGTGGGATAAGACAAAGAAGAGGTAATGGAAGTAACAGTAGGATAAAAGGACAAAGGTGGATAAATACAATTGCATGTCTGGGCAATGGCAAATATATTCTAATACAGTATATGATGACAGATAATGGGAGGAAAGGCTAGACATGCTTTTGGCAATCACTTTGGCAGCTAAGTGGCCTAGTGCTAGATTTGGAGTCAGAAGGATCTGAGTTTGAATCCTGCTTCAGACACCAGCAGTATGAACTTGGGCAAGTCACTTAACCTTAACTTAATCTCCCTCAGTTTCCTCATTTGTAAAATGGGGATAACAACACCACCTACCCCAGGGGTTGCTGTGAGGATCAAATGAGAAAATATATCTAATAAGCTTTGCAAACCTTAAAGCATTTTATAAATGTTGGCTATTGTTATTATTGGAAGATCATGGTAAGTCATTAAAAGTTTTTGAGCAAAGGAGTAACAAAACAAACTACCACTTAGGAAGATAAATCTGGCATTAGTGTGCAGGATGGACTGGAAATAAGAGACCATGATGGGAAGAACAGTTAGGAGACTGTTAAAATAGCCTAGGAAAACATGATATTAGTAAGAGACTAGAGCTTTAAGGTTTACAAAGCACTTTTCTCATAATACTTCATTGAGATTCCTAACAACCCTGTAAGTAGGTACTACGGGTATTATTATCCCCATTTTGCAGATGAAGAAACTGAGGCTCAGAGAAGCACTGTGGCATACCCATGGTCACAGAGCTAGTATTAGAGGTGGGATTCAAACCGAAGCTGCTCTAGAACCTGAGTCTAGCATTCTTTCCAGTATATCACACTGAAATGAGAGCCTCAATTAGGGTGCTGTCAGTGGGAATAGGAAACTATTGTAGAGATTAGAGAAAGCTTAGTTTTGTGCAGCAGTCATAGAAGCATAGGGATCCTCAGATGAAAGAGTCTGTGAGGAGCACACAGTAGGGCGGCATCAGTCCTTGTTGGCAGGCTATTTGTATACAGAACCTGATCCTTATCCCCTTAGGGTTCCTGCCCTCCTGGACAGCTCAACCTGTCATCCAAGGCTTGCCCTGCAGGCATGCAAAAATGAACAAAACAGCATGGTTTAGGGCCAAATTGCATAAAGGCTAGAAAATGCTTACTTTGTAGGGATGACTTACAAGTCATCAATAAGACCTGACATATTGTGAAACCAATTTAGGTGCTTCAGTCAAATTAAATGACGGCATCCAAAGGAATCTTCCAATTGCTTACAAACAAAACATACAGAACTAGGCAAATCATGAGAACTTGATTTTGCATCTCCCCTACTGACGACCATAGTGAAATGTGCTAGAACAAATTAGATCCTTAACACATTTACTGAAAGTTGAATGAATGAATAAGATATTTAACTGAGCCAAAGAAAAAAAATCCACCCTACTCAACAAAGGATGTAAATTTAAATGAAAGATATATTAAAAATACACTAAAGAGATGTTTTAAATTTGCACTGCTCTATTACTCAGAAAATTTGAGTGGATACGTAATCGTATCAATGGGATTAGTCCCTTCAATGTTGCAAGCAGCAACTCATCCATGTTTGTCTGTCCTGTGTGCCTCTTATTCTGGTTCTCCTTTAAGTTTGCTGCAAGAGGTCCTACTTGGCAGGTGGGGGAAGAGTCTTCTTGGATTCTCCTGACAATACCAGGATACCAATGGTGCACCTGGGCTATCCATCAATTATCCCTCGTTCTCACCATGTTACCAACCTATTTTCTTTTCTCATCATATGTGTCTCAGACAACACGCTTTACATGACCTCCTTTTTATGATTCTTGTTTGTGATGTGTTACAACCTCCTCATGACCACCACTCTCAGTGGAAGGAGCTGCTGTTCTCTGGGTGATCCTTAGCTTCAGTTCTTTGAAACATGCAGTATTCTGTTTTTTTTTTCAGTCATATAACCTTGCCAGGAGAATATGAGAATTAAAACAATGGACCTTCATTTTAGGAGAAATCTGGTGTCATTAAAAGAACTTTTGAATTTCCTAAAGCAATCTAGCACACTCTCCTGTTTGGTTCTAAGCCCAAATAATTGTCCATTTGCAGTGTACGTATAGGATATGTATACACTGATGGATAAATATAACCGCATACTATTGTTTGTCCAATAGGCATTTTCCCCCCTTTAGGATTAGTTAAATTGAACTCTTTTGGTTGACTGTGTGTTTCATTTAGGAGTTTCAACAATGTCCCAATGTCTGATGCATTTAACACAATGACATTTACAAACAAGTACATCCAGAGAACCTTACCATCTACAGAGAATCCTTCTTTGATTTGGGGTCTGGATCACCTCCATGACAGGGCAAACACTTGGCAGGTACATGTCCCTCTACTTTGTTCCTTGTTTGATATTAACAATTAGGGAGTTACCAAACAAGATTATTTCTGTTGTTATATCTTTCAGGGTATTTCATTTTGACAGAGATGGAAAACGTCTTATTGGAGAATAGCTTTTAAGGTGGTGTTCTGTTCTGCCAAATCAAATGATTTTTAAAAGTAACAAACAATAAGCACAGCAGAATCTAGTATTCTCTTCCATCTTTCAGTCAACTGTATGATGGTAATGATGTAGCTTACCATGAAAATGAAAAGATTATGTGGGCAATTATTTTTATAAAAACTTTATCTAGATGGAAAAACAGGCATATGGGTTGAAAGTTATTGATGTTCTCTTGATTACCATTTTTTGTTAGTAATGAGATCCAAGATTTTTCTCACACCTCTGGTATCTTCCTTTCTTTCAGATACCTTGAGAACTGATTGCTGCTTTACCCATTTCTGTTTTTTCACTGTCATTTCTATTTCCCTCTATAAGTACATTCTGAATGTGATGATGTATTCCAAACAAATGTACTGACTTCTCTGTCCTTGATGGTGAAAAGTTTGTTGTAAAAATCTTTGGAGATCTTTTCTTTCTTTAGTTTGTTGTTTTCTTTCCATTTTTATTCTGAAAACCATTCGGATCACTTTTTTTCAGTTGGATATCTTGCCAAAGTTTCCCTAAATTGTGTTTTCCCTCCACCACTACACACTGTTTTATGAGGTAATACTGCTCATAATATTCCACTAACGCATAAAATTTTACATGTAAGTTTATGTTCTTTACCAGTGTTGCTCTTGGCTACCATATCTATGTACCTGGTAAATAGACCACTGTGTGCTAAGATGGTTTTTTGGCTCTCTTGGTCTTCTCATTACAGCAACTGATTTGTATCTATTTATATATGAAATGATCATAATATGTGTTGATGTCTTTTCCTTTATCCATTTTGTAATTTTATGTCAATTACTAGTGTAAATAGAATAGGCTAGAGTTGTTTTAACTACATGTCAAATTAGCCTCATTCTCTCTTCTAACTTCATGTGAATTTTGATCTTCTATCTAACAAGCCAGTGGTCTACCTATACATAGATAAGTGATTCAAGGATGATTCTGATATCATTAATAAATTATTTTTTCACAATGAGAGTACCAATATCTAAGCCAGCATTTATGGACAGCCTAAAAACTTTATGATTCTTATCATCTTCTGTCAACATCACTACAGAAGTGGGAGGTGGAGGAGACTGTGCACATGACTGAGGGATATTTTGTATTTTTCTTTTTTTTCATGGGATGCTATGGTCAAAGAATTCATCATCAAGTAGCCAGCCTTCTTATGACAAACCTCTCCATGTTAGTCAGGCTAGGTCTTCTGAAAGCAAACGTGGTCTGTTGCTAGAATTATCCATGAAGGCTTTCTAGTACCAAAGAAACTGTGAGAGCTTTTACTTGAATGGCACAATCTTCAGGAACCCCTTGTCACTTTCACATATTGGTGAAGCACTGGAGTAGTATAAAGCAGTGGTAGTCCTTACTTACCAATACATGAAACAGATCTACAGAAAGAAGGGATGGTGTATCTTCAGATTTCAGGTTAGGAAGAACAACTACAACAACAACAATACATTTAATTTAGTCAGCAATTTAGCATTTTAATAATTCAAGGATCTGTGATGCAGTCATTGACACAGAACACAACCCCTACAGGAGATCTCAATGACTGCATGTGATAGAAAACATTCATCACCTGGTGGTCAACAGTCTAGTTAAGGGCCCTTATTGACATAGTCAAGTTCGTCTTCAGACATAATTAGGCAGTCCATTACCAGACCTTACACTGAAATTTTTTCTAAAGTTTCTCAACTACTGACATATTCTTCAAGACCCCAGAGTCACTTCCACACCAAGAGGAGACATCAAAGTAGAATTCTAGTAAAAGAAAAATGCAGTTTAATAAAGAAAAAAAAAAGATGCTATTCAAATACATAACTACAGGACTCACTTATCATTCAAACCTTTTAACCACTATGCCTAATCTTGGAAGCTACAACTAAAGAATTTCTGAATTTATACTGGGTTTAGAAGAAAGATATTGAGGTGATTTTACGGTTGAAAGATGAAACCTAAGAATAAAAGTTAAAGGAACCAAGATAATTGAGTTGGAAGGGAACAGGGAATTTGTTGAATGGATAGATGAATGAATGGATGAATAAAAACAAATGGATTTAAAACAATGTTTCCTAACCTCTATGACACTCTTTTAAGTTTTAAAATAGTTTACAACGGACCAAATAAGTATGAAAGGAAGTAACATGTGGGGGAAGGGGGGAGAGACCCTCCTCAGGTAGTGGCCTATGTGCCTGTTGGCAGAGACAAAGAGGTTATTCTAGCCTCAACATTAGCTGTCTTTAAACTAACTTTTCTCTGAGGATTAGCAAATTAATGATGAAAAAGAATGATACAAGATGATAAAGTGACAAAATGAAAGTGAGGTAAGACTCCCTCTTCTTCTCTTAACCTGTAAAACAAAACAATACACTAAAAAAAGAAAAAAAGTCTGAAAACTATTCAAATTTTTTTTTAAATGGTCAAAGATTAATTTTGATACAAAAAAGCAATACTATGGAACAACTAAATTAGCTAATGTATCAGAAAACACAGAGAAGGGAAAAGAAACTATACCAGATATCCTGAAAGACAACCTAAAATGATAAATAAATAGCACACTTAAAGAAATTAAGTAAGAACTGTCACTGATGGAAAAAAAAAATCTTAAGATCAAATAAAAGAAGAACTGGGAAAAAAGTTAAAAAGTCTCAGGAAGAAACACCAGAATTAAAAGATGCTAAAAAAAAAAAAAGATAGAGAAGAAATAAACTATTAAGAAAATCCCTGGTATGGTCATGTAATAGAACACATCAGAAAAAACTCTCCACTCCCCTCCCCCAAATCAGTAGAAATAATCAATAACAATCTTACTTTTACAAAAGAGAATTATACACAATACAGAAACAGCTAGAAGTAGGATCTGAAAATCCAGAAATTATGCAAATCATTGAAAAATACATAGATCTACACAGCAGACCTGGATGCCATAAGAGTCACAGGATTACTAGAACATAAGGGAAAAGATACAAGCTGACAAAAAAGAAATGAAATCCTTCAACAAGGAACAATAATCAGGTATGATCATAAGATCACATAGCTGGAAGCAGGGGTGTGCTAGAGACTGCCAGCGCCTGCTTAAATTAGTTTGTGAGAGCTGATTGTTAAAGTTTCAGTGTGAGCATTTATTCCTTGGAATTTAGCAAATGCTACAAATCAGGACTTGATTTATTGTTTTGTTGATTTCTGGTCTTAAGAAAGTGATGGAGAAAATGTTAAAAATGAAAGTTAAACTTTAAAATGTCAAGTGCATATTTCCCTCCCAGAAAGCTAGTTATTAAACATTTACTAGACATCCCTGGTGGGAAGGGATTGTAAAAGGTCATCCTATCTAACCCCTTCATTATATAGTAGAGGAAATTGAAAGCTTCAAACGACTTTACCAAAGTCACAGAGATAGTAAGTGGCATAGGCAAAATCTGAACCTGAATCTTCTAATTCTAAACTCTGTACTTCAGAATCACAAGAGACAAAAAGAAACTGGAATATAACATTTATAGAATTAAGAAGTAGGGGCCGTGAATGCAAAATTATATACTCATAAAAATTCAGTCTGTTCTATGAATATAGAGAATTGATATAAAAGTAAAAAGGCTTTGAAAATTTACAGAGACAGAGATCCACTTCAATCAAGTATCTGAACGAATATCCCAGAGATAAATATTTACAAGGCACATTTCTCAAATCAAATGGCCTGTTTCCAATTTCCCATGGCTATCTCCTCCTTCAGTTCATTCCTTTCTTCTTTGTTTAAGCCCAATGTTATCAACCTCTCACAGGAACCAGATAATGATAATTAGTTTGCAAATAGTGGTTTCATTAGTTTCAGATAAGGAAAAATGTTTTGGTAGTAAGAATGGGTTGGTGGAAAGAAAGTCAAAGACAGAAAAAAAGATCACATAAATACTAAATATTCATAGCAGGCCTTTTTGTGGTATTGAATTGGAAACAAAATAAATGTCGACTGACAGATTCGAGAATGGCTAAATAAATCATGTAACATGAATGTAATGAAATATCACTGTGGTAGTAAATGATGAACAAGATGAATTCAGAAAGGCATGGGAAGACATATATGAACAGGTAAAGAGAGGAAGTATCAAAGCAATACAACCTGATGGCAACAATCACAAAGCAGATTAAACTGGGAAATATTTAACACAATAAATAAAAATACAACAGAACATAGATAATGTTAACACATGGCTTTCTAAGTCAATATACGGCCCACTGGGATCCTTATGTATCTTTAGTGGCTTCCCTTTCTGTTTGAGTTTGATACCATTGACGAAGAGAAAGTAAGCAGAACCATGACAACTGTATATACAATAACTGTAAAAAGGTAAACAGAAAGAACAACACACAAAACCAAACACTATGTTGTTATAATAATCAAATTTGGCCCCAGAGAAGGAACGAGAAAATTAACTTCTCTCTGTTCTTTGCAGAAGCAGGAGATTCTATATGTAAAACACTACAAATATGTACTATTAGGACTTCACTGATGCAGTTTGGTTTTGCTCCTTTTTTTCTGTTTTAAAAAGAATATATTGTTGGATAGAGAAGATCAGAAGAATATATTTAGAAATGAAGAATATAAAGATATAAATAAAAATTTTATTAATTGAAGGGGTGGGTAGAAGGTGCTAATAAAACATCTTGCATGTATATAGGTGTTGTCAATTTTATTAGCTGGAAGGGACCAGATGTTACACATTAAGGCATTATTTCTTGCACTTAAGTTCTTACATATCTATCTTCCCTTTCCCCCTACCTATATATTTTAAATTCTTTTAACCAGGAATTTTCTTAAATATTTTATTTTTGTTGATTTCTGTTTTTATATTACCTTGATTTCAAAACAAATCATTCCCTTACCTAGTGAGTCAATCCTTCTAACAAGAAATAAAAGACAAAGAAAAGGGAAAAAAGCAGTTCAGCAGAGCTAATCAGCATATCAAAAGAATCTAATAGCACTGAGGCTTTATCTATAGTTTTGTAATCTCTTAGAATGAGAAGCCAATTTGGGAATGCATAGATCAATTTTTTTTTTAACTTTAGAATTTATATTTACCTTTTTTTTTTTTAAAAATGAGGAGAATGGCTCAGGAGATTTATTTTATTACTGTGATAGTTTCTGGCATGGCAAAGCCTTCTCAGATTCTCTCTGACTTTAAAGTTATCTATTTGTCTTTTTCTATTCACACTTCATCCTTGGTATTAAATTAAAATGATATGGTTCAGTTGTTTATTATCATGGTGCAGAACACATTTTAGAGCAACTGTTACAACTAGTATATCTACTAGTAAATAATATATTGTACATATTTCAAGTCACCTATTTTATTCATATATCAAGGCAATGGCTATTTGAAGCCCATCTTTTAAAAAATGTATATCTTTATGTTGTTTCTACGTTGTGCTGGTCAGTGTTTCTACACACAGTTGCATCAACATAAAAATAATTTTCTACCACCTGAACACTGATCTTCCAGATATTCATTCAATTTCATTACTGGTTCTTCCTTCATTTTTGTCTTTTCATCATCCATTCATTTTCAGTAGAAATTCAACTGCTTTTATGCGAGTCTAGCTAGCCTGAAACCTCTTATCTGATGGATTCAATTTCAGTAAGTAGGCTTCTCTTCACAATAGTCCTTTTCTGCTACATTTAGGTCACTGTCAAATCAGGACACTTAGCTAAAAATATTGGTACTCTACTAGTCTCTGTGCTATCATTTAATCATGTTTTCAAAGAACAATACACTATACTTTTATTTATTTCTACTCTCCATTTAATATGCTGTGTAGTCAATCCTGCTTGACGATCATAATTCTAGCAGTCAAGAAATTGAATGGTTAACAATTAGTTGGGTTTGATGATTCCTAAATTTATTATTTCATAATAGTGCAAAGTAACATTAGCTAAACTTTTCCTTAAGATATCGCCTCAGACAAAGACCAGTCCAACCACAAGTTAATGAGATCTAACTTTAGTGTGTACACACTTTTGCTTGGGAATTCTTTTTTTCACCTTTTGTTGACTTCTTAGCACATTTCTTACAATGGCTATTCTAAAACCACGCCATTTTTGTTTAATCTTAAATCCCACCTTCTTCCACCAATGATCTTACCACCTATGCTTTTATTCAGCCTCCTCTTCACCTGAAAAACTTTTATATTTTTGAGGCAGCTAGTGGCACAGTAGATAGACTGCTAGGCTTGGATTAGGGAAACATGAGTTCAAATCTGACCTCAGACACTTACTTGTGTGACCCTAGGCACTTAGGTGACTTAACCTTTGTTTGCCTCAATTTCCTTAGCTGAAAAATGGGGATGATAATAGCATCTACCTCTTAGGGTTGTTGTGAGAATCAAATGAGAAATGCTGGGGGAAAAATGTATTTACCACAGTGCCTGGCACATAATAGATGCTATATAA